CCCCCTAATGCAGCGTTTCGTTTGATTCCAACTAACTTGGCAGACTCTAGTTCCTCACTGTATCGGTGCAGTTCTTTTTGCTCTCCTCCAAACGCTAACACAGTTCGGATTGCTGTCAGCGCTTCATGTGCGATCGAGCCAGCGCGCGCGTAGGCTTTCAACTGCTTCACAGCAAAATACCTGGTAAACACGCCAAACAAAGTGAAAGCTGCTGCCATAAAAGGTAAAGTAGCACAAGCAGCCAGAGTGAGCTTCCAGCCAAAGGCGAAGCAGAAGATGATCCCAGATATAAAGCTGGATACATTCTGCACAAATTCGCCCAGTTTGGTCCCGATTCCTTGTTCTATTAAATAGGTATCATGAGAGAGTTTCACCAGCAGTGACCCGATGGGATGTCGGTCAATCCATGATACTTCTTGTCTCATAAGTGCCTAACACAAAAGATGAAAATTGGGAAATTGGAAGGGTGAGGTCATAGAGGAAATGGTGATGAGTAAAAACTCGGTAAGTGGGCAAATGAAGGTTAGTGTACCGAATCTGAACAGCATATGCTATCCCAACAGCATTTATTCGTTAAAGCTGGATGATATTACAAAAGATCTGTCCATTATTCAGTTGATTGCAGACAGGCGGGTTTGAAACTTGTTCTACGCTGCGTAAATACATCCAAAACAAACAGTTTCTTATATGTTACTTGCCCTTCTGAAGTTTACTCGACTAAGCGAAAATCGGAACAAGAAGTTTGTAATGCAACTCAGGCTATCAACTTGTTAGAAATGTTGTGGAATGTAGGTAACTGCGCTGTTTGTATGTTACTTGCCCTTCTGAAGTTTACTCGACTAAGCGAAAATCGGAACAAGAAGTTTGTAATGCAACTCAGGCTATCAACTTGTTAGAAATGTTGTGGAATGTAGGTAACTCGGTTGCGCTGTTTGGTTGTTGGTCTGTTCGCCGAGCTTGGCAGTTGGATCGCAAACGTTTCACCGCCAATCGAAGTGACATAGTCAGTACCGGGTTGAGTGGGTTTATTTGCTCAAGAGTTTGCAAATTTCACTACAAGGACCCGTGTTTAACTGATTGAAGAACAACGTATGAATTGTACTGAACCCCAGGAATGACTAAGCCGTTGCTCCCTTTTGCCCTGATTTTATCTAGAGCTCCACGTAACATTAAGTGAAACTATTCAGGGAGGTCACCTCAGTTTCAAGTTCTACCTCCGATTCATTTGTCACAGGTAACTCATATGTGTGACCAGCATGAAATTACAGCTCTGGTTTGGATATGCTGTTGTTCTTTGACAAGATCACGTATTTGTATAAAAAGTATTTTCAGCAGATATTTTTCCTTCATTTGTAGCCAATCTACACTGCACACTCACTAAAAGTCACCAATGGTGCATATCTTGAGAATTTTCAGGGAGTTTCGAACCCCCATCTCCAGACTTCCCGTCCAGTAGTCGAAGACTTAACCGTTCCGCTACTAGCAGCCGATCAGCATTATAATTAACTCTTCATTCATTCATTACTTGTTCACTCATTGACTGAATTCTCGAGCGGTCACAATTCAGAGTGATGTTTCAATTATTGGGTGAATTTATCATTTCTCTCAGCTACTTAAAGTGTATTTGTACTGTTGGGAGATTTGAGAATAGGTTTTGCAGATTTCGTCCCATAAGTCACTAGGCACTATACAGCAGTATCGTGCTTCCTAGGGATCGTCTGCAGTGCACATATCATAAGACTGCCTTTCGTAGCCAGGTGGCTAAATGTCCAAGTTATTAACCGACAGGTAGCCTTTTTGAAACGTTCTAGATTTCCTTCAGACACGCAACCGTAATGGTTGACCATCACGTTGAACCACCTATAAAGTTCTTCCAAGCTTACGCCGTAGGTTAATCTAACGCTGAGAATGAAATCCCAATTGAAAATTAATAAAATTGTTCACATTAGCAACAAAACACTTAAAGTCAACCCCATCTACCAAGGTACGTTTGTGGATTTCCCTCGAACATCATATGTGATACTAGGTTAGACCACTTTGTCCGGGTGGCCTCTACAGCGTTGATGATATTATTCTGGAAGCCCTAGCTAGGTAAACGCGAAGGTCGTGGTAAGATCCATAATATATGTGGTTTGAACCGCCATCAAGAGTTGAGCTGCGCGATATTTTGATAGTTGTACCGAACGTAATTCGCGCTTCACCAGAGACTCGGACAAGGACCCCAGATATAAATGACACTATTTGCTAGTCATCCGTTCAACAAGGACTTGGGGTAGTTTAGTTCATTTCCTTGTACCAGGTTCTGATGCAGTTCCATCCAGAAAATACTTGGATGTGAGTTGTAGTAGTTTCTTGCAGAAGGTTGCGATTTCTGTGATTTACCCTTATTTACATATTTTCCATGAAGAGGTCATTTTGGTGAAATTCTCCAGTCAGGCTACAGCTCCTTTCTTGCTGGACAAAAATATTTGACTAGACAACCGAGTACAAGATAAGGAAGCTTAACCAGGTTAGCAAACCTCCAACGGGTTCGCACAAAGGCCTTCTCTGCCGACCTCGGCATGGGATGACGCCGTAGACGGACTATCTCCTTTCCGTAGAGGTTTAATTACCCTTTTGTTTATCGTGATTCGTCTTTAGAAGGAACCTCATGAATAGTGCATTACGAAGATACTTGTATCATGGTATCTCGAATATCGTAGCGACTGAAACACGAGGCAGCCTGGTGCCGCACATTCAGTTGCTTCGAAACATCAGCTAGGTTCCAGTTGAGTTTCTTAAATAAACAAATTAGTCTGTAAATGAGTGCATTTCGTCAACATATGACTTGTTTCACACTCCCATCCAGATGAAAACTACCTGTTCATGCATTCCGGAGCCTTGTTAAAAGAGTATCAGAAAAAAGGGTTTAGCATCATGTAAAAGGATTTTCTAAGATGGCACCATCAGTTATGCCATCGATGATCTATTGTTGTCTGTCACACGAAGTGCAGAAAGGATAGTCATACTTTGGCTTTCACAGGCCTTCTAGGTTGGTGTGAATTGTTTGTTTGTAACCGAATATTTGGTATTGATTACAGAGCTTATATTATTCTACGACCTCATTGTTTTAACGTTAAGGCAGAGTCTTGAAAATAAAATGAATCATTCATTTATCTACGCTGTTTAGAGCGTTTAAAGTACAATCTGGTTTCGATCCAGAAAATCCTGACTCCATCCTCATTGAAAGTCATCAAATACGTTTGAGAAAATGGACAAAGATAACCATTTTTAACAGTCTCAGACTGTTGCCTTCTGATGACGAAAATATTGGGTGAATAATTGGAAAAATATCGTGAATATTCGTATGAAAAGTTGAGCAACAACTAGAACAACAAATCATCCACACTGTCATTCCAGATTGTTTCTAATAAAAAAATCCAGTGATAAATAGTTATGAGAATTAATGTGCCAGGGGTTCTTGCTGGATTACCTAGCCACATTATATGTTGACATATAGTTCAGTGATTAGAATTAATTTGGCGTGTCAGAATTGTCCTTCCCTTAACCAACATGGCTCTTTCTTAGTGCAGTGATCAGGGACATTCTATCAGTGTTTTTCAGGCTACTGTTGCTCCCTCATGAGGAAATTCACTCTTATTAGTTCCAACTCGTTGTACAGTATCAAAAGATAATAACTTGCAGGCCTGAAGACTTTAGATTATCTCGTATTAATTCTGCTTTCTAGTTTAGTGAAATTAAAACCAAACCTCTCTCTAAAGAAGTGATTCCAAGCAAACACCGGCGAAACCCAGTTTCTACAAAAATGGTGATAATCGTGGGAACTTCTTCGCCAAAAAAATGGTTTTTCAAGAAGCAATGCTAACTGCTCTTCCTCAAAGAAGTTCTTCCATAACTTCCGTACTAAATTCTGTACTGAACCTGACTAGAATGTATTTATATCATGTGCAACAGGGATCTAATCAATGTGTTCCTGCAAAAGATAACAATGGCATTGGAGATTATGATACGTCTATTTTTAAGAACACACGGGAAGATATTTCAAGGTGCTGTTTTCCAAAGATACCTGCTGAATGGTTTACTCAACTGTTAGACTCACCTTAAAGTATAACAAACGGATTCTGTTCAGTTGTTGTTTTGCAGCATATTTCAATAGGAAGGCGTGGATGAAAGACGTGACCAAAATGATGAGACCGAGAACAGCGAAGAACACCACCGTATTTCTTGCACGGCTAAAGCTCACAGGAGGCACCGTAAGAACATTCAGGATATTCCGGAACAGGGCCACATTCATGGTTACCAGTATGCCAACCACAATGGATAAGAGGATTCCAAAACACACCATAATCTTCACTCCAACAGTCGAATATCGAAACTAAAATTTTAATTTTCCTTCTTCCGTGTTTAGCGTGTACCTACCAAATTGAAATAGGTTACGTGACGAAATTCATCCTCGGTTTCATCAATGAAAGCCTTGTCCGAGGTTTTGTCAGCTGATTTTTTTCTGCCTCCCATGGAAGTATATTCCCTCCAAGATGATCCTACAAAATCGAGGACTGATTCTAATCACTGTGTTTATAGGTTTTTACTCCAAGAAACCAAGTTAATGACGATTCGCTAGTCTATTCTATCCGATTCCCGTGGATTAAGTTAACTTAACTGCAATGTTTACGATTGGCTGATCATCGCTCAGTCTGGAACAGAATCAAAATGATTTTAACTCAATTTTCTAGTGATAGTTTATTTTCTTGTATGGGGGTGAATTGTAAAATTTATAGAACGCAAGCATGGTCAAAACCGGAGAGTCTGATAGCCCTCATATTTAGGGTTGTCCCTCTAGGTGTGTGTATGAAACTATTTCTCCCTTTAAGGAGAACAAATGATGACGTTCGACAGCATTTTACTATGTTTGCTACTTTTGGAGCCTACCAGTACGTAAACACCTTCATATGAAATATGGTGTCTTTTTTTACCTACGTGGAAAAGGAGTGATCTGATGGCATTCCGTTTGAAAATTTTAAATGTCACGTTTGTTAGTAGGACTGCGGAAATTAACCAGTGTTCGCTATAGGACAAATTAGTCATTTCTTGTTTACTTTTTCAGCTGTGCCTTTTCGGGTGCGTTTTGCCATAAACTGTAGAAGCAAAAAGACGATATGAATGACATTTAACGCGTACCAGAAAGTAAGAACATAGTCTTCCTGACAGCTGTAAACGTTTCCTACATTTAAGGCAAACCTATGCTGCTCACGAGCCCGTATATCGTGATCTTCAAACTGGCATCTGAATACTACAACATTCCGTCACGAATGGTTATTAGTTAAGGTAAGAAAAATTACACAAATAGTAATTGTCAGTCCTCAGGGAAACTCTCTTACATGTAGATTGTACTTACGCAATTATATACGATGGGGAAATGACTCCGAAATTTTTTTAGTATACCGCATTCCAAATTCAACTTCATCTGTCGAGGGATCAAAATATGCGGAATTTTTGGAATCACCTTCCGCCCCTTTACAACGTATGTTCGTCCAGTGAATACAAGATGGACTTCAGTTCACAAACACTCAGCATTTCTTTGCCAGTTAAATTCATCTATATAGAACACTTAGTAGCGGCTAAGATACTGGATCAAAACCTAGCCAACTCATTCGGACAGCTAGCTATGGGCGATTCACCAAGAGGATGCGAAATTGTTGATGGTGTCAGTTCTGTCCACTAAGGAGCTCCGTTACGCTTCTACCTTCGAATATGCAGTCGGAAACGCTGGTTTCTTCAAGATCAGGAACCACTAAAATTTCAGTTGAGAAGGCTAGAAAATCGGAATTTTTTAAGGACGGTTTCCTATGCTCCTTTAACCTTTGAGTTCAAAAGCTTACCTAAATGCGAGCATAAATGACTGGAGAGCGTTTCTACCCGGTTACAATTTTTATGCCACAGGATAAAATATTGGAGCACAATATTTATTCAGATGTACTATAAACTGTGTTATCGTCTAATCGTTACTCCAACAAGCCATCCGTAATTGTGTTAATAACGCGTTTCCCATGTTTTCCCACGAAGCCACATTCTATTATACGGTAATCCACCTATAGGTCGTTAGGCCAAATATAACTATGGAAATAGGAGCAGTTGCATGGATGCACCACACGGGCATGCTTCATTAATATAAATACCCGTTAGATTTACAAGTCGTCTGGCTGTAACATCTTTTTGGTGCCCAGCTGAGGTACCATTTGGAGAAAGCACAAAAGACGGCATACTGCCAGGTTGCTCCAACCTAGACAGCAAAAGTCGAGAAGCAGAGGTCAGGTTCAAACCAACCATTTGCACTGATTTCTCTTTTATTCTTCCAGTTGCCTCTCTTTCATTACATTGAACATTCTATGAACTGAAACCCCATTTCTTACATCAAGGCATCTAAACAAACGCCAAACGAAAACAAAAAAATATCCCTTCCATTTATGGCAGACTTATCAATTACTATGACACCATTGTGAAACAGCTGGCTTTTGTTTTACGCATCGAGCTAACTAACCGACACTCTTCTTCAAAACCACGACAAAGATGTGCATAGAGACTTGTACTCAGTGCCACCTGGTCCAAGTTTTAGATCATAAAATTGTTTTTACCGTCAACATTTTAGGAACCATTAAAACAGCAGATACACTATTGTTTGTAGTTCTTCTCATGGCAAACACGCAGAAAACATACGGTAAGGCCCAGGAAAGAACGGACATCACTACACAAAAAGTGGTAAGGATTTAACTCAACACACTTGCACAAGTAAAAGCAGAATCAACTGATAAGTATTGTAAAATGGCGAAGTAAAGCCATCCATCGGTTTTCATGATCACAATGTTGCAAAAGAGTAGAATGAGGTTTGCATGTTTCCAAGTTTAGCTTAGTGTCCCTTCAAGAAATCTGAGGAAAGATTATTATGCAAGAATTATTAGCACTGATTGAGGCTGTATCGCACGCCTCAAAATTTTGCGAAAATGCGCAAACTAATTGCAGCGGTTATCTTTCACTCCTGGAAGTATACAAAATGTATCTCTCAAGCAGTAAGAATACTTCGGTTACTTTGTCCTTCAGTACACAGAAGAGGAAATAGTTGAACAACAAATGATATCACGACGCAAGTTCTTCAGTTTACTCGGTGCAGAGTGCATACGAATTTCAGAGCTTTGATCTTCGAACTGAGAAATCTTGGTAAGGATTTACTGCTGTCAGACTTCAGAGCAATGAAAGTTATACTAACAACCCTATCCGCCAATGGTCATATCTACTGGATTATATGCATGTGATTTAAACCTCTAAGAGGTCAAAATGCACAGAAAAGCTCGTAATAATGAAGCCATTCTAAAACATGTGTTTGAAGCACACGGGTGTCTTTTAGACAGTAAGATTTGTACGCGAAGCAGACAGTCTGTGCAGCATTTCCCGGCAATCCTACCAGCTTATAACTGAAAGTGGGATAAGCTGTAAGCGCGATGAGAAACAACAATCATCCGATGAAATAACTTCACCCATTGATGAAAAGCTCCTACCAGAGTTGTAAAGCTTGCTAAACGGACGCGATTTAATGATGAAAGCTTTTTGTAACTCGAGTGCTCATTTTGTTTTACATCGAGTGGTTGTTGATCTGTTATCCGAGTTTTTAGTTCGATGTTATTACACTTCTTATCCTTAGAATGGCCTGAGTGTGGACTACTCCGAGATGGCCAAATAGCCGTTCTGACTACTATTTTGTTTCCCGGATATCATGATCATATAACTTACCTTAGACATGATCGCATTTCAAGCTGTTCTCAATGAGAGAATACCTACTAACAGAGGCCAATATTTCAACCACGATTACTATGGAAGCCAAGCCAATTGCAAGGTTCCTAAAGCCAAACTAATCAGAATTTGCAAACATAAGGCCTTCGAAGTCTGTTCCGGGTGTGTGAACATAATGCAACCTGCCTGAGGTACTCAACGGGAAATTTCAAAGGTTGTTAAATGCAGTGTGCTTCTAGGGAATGAAGTCTATGTTATTTATATCTAGTGTAATACACGGGTCACTCACATAGTTCGTAGTGATCGGTAGTTCGAATTTACTGGTGGGCGTATTTTGCTTACACTAAGTGCACCCGTGCTCCCTTTAGTTTTACCAGTCATGCTAGAGGGTGAATGGTTTTCGGACAGAAGCACTGTACTGCTTTTCGTGGTGCTCATGTTTTTTACTGACAAAAGACGGCAATTTTCAAAATATTTACGTCCATTAGTGACAGAGCACGCCAAACTGTTATCGCGCCTGTACATTTGACATTGTAATCACTAGCTACCTAATCGTTATGTTTATTTTATTTGCATTACTCTGTTCCTGAAACCATTGCTTTTGAAACTTTACTATGTGGGAAACCTACGAAGAGACTGCATTCATAAAATCAAGGGGTCTATTGTGGTTCAGTGAATGTTCTAAGTTCCCCTATGGAAACATACAATCCACGAGCTAAGGGATGATGCCGCTTGGCTTCTAACTTGGATTCCTTTACAGAGAGCACGAAGGCGATATTTATGGTGAGCTTAATCCGTATGGCTTTACTAAAGCTGTAACAAACTTCAATACATTGGATATTGCATTTCCTCTGATAGACCAATCGGAAACTTCAGATTCCAGGTAACGGGATTCGGAGAAAGAGAGCTTTGTACCTAACACCCCACTCTAAGTAAGACCTGTTTCCGTGATTTAGGCTGCACAGATACATTTGGACAAAAACTTAAAAGGTGCTATTTGGCGATAAGACAACGCAGTTTGTTCCACACAGCGAGGCAACGCATTGTTGTTGCCCATTCGCATCATCAGTGTTAAGGCACCCTAGTGGCGACATGTCGACAAAGAAGTGGTTCGTGCGGTGACCGTCAGCCAATAAAAGCAGTAAGACTGAATGTAGTGTTTTAATTGGTGTTCTGAGTATTTAGCGTTGCATAGCGTGCAGAACGTTTGACCGGCCAGAACAAAAACTGGAATAAACACCATGCTTGTTGCAGCGATCGTCGTTTGTGAGGAAAGTTGAAAAAAATTCACGCCAACATTTAGGCCTTCTAGCGATAAAATCTAAGGTACAAACAGTACCTCAGTACTGCTTCCTTAGGTAGGGGTAGACTGAAAAATCTAACTGGCACATTACCAAGGTCCCACTTTTGCATTTTACTATGGAAATAAGAAACAAACTGAATAAGTAAATACAGCGTTTAGGTAAACTATCCCAAAAAATCCTACGTAGTAAAAATTGCATTTGAATTACTGAGCAATATTAAACCGCATCAGACACCTTATCTTCAAAAAAGCTCATCACTGAGAGGCTTCCAA